AGGCGGACGACGTGATGGTGTCGTTTAGTGTGGTCTCCTTCTTTGTCTCTATTCAGGCTCCACGACAAGTCCAACACCGCGGTTAGTGGCTGCCACCGAGGTCCATGCAGCCAAATGTAGAAAAATACGGGGACGCTGATTGGTTCCTTTTCATTCATTCGTTTCCGCGCATTTTCCGGCTCCTTAATGCTCCTTCTCCTTGTATCAAGAAATAATATGCCTTGGACGTATATATCCCCGTCCAACTGAATGGTCTTACATCCGTACTACCTGATAGAGGTGTCATTTGTTTCACTTTCGGTTTTAAAGTGTTTTATTTCCCTATTATTGAAAGGCGTGCAGTCATGTAACTTGGATAAATTAGGGAAAAGCTCTCACCGGAGACTTAGCTCTGGGTACAGACCAGCGGGCAGTTAGAAAAATTAAAACATCGCACCAGCTTTAAGCGAGTGATTTTTTTAAAAAGTAAGTTTGATTGTCTAACTGCGAAGCAAAGCTCGCTTATAAATGTACCATCTTTATCATAGCCTTTTCTTCCCTCTTCAGGTGGAAAACCATCTTGTCGCCATGGTTGCGCGTGACTGCTCTCTCATAATTGCCTTTCAACGGGCGAAGGATGAGTAAGCTAATTTCTACTCACATCCGCCTTCTTCCGATTGCAGGTCGTAGTTAAGATGATTGGAGATGCGCGTGGAAGCAGTAGTTGACAGGGTCAAATTTTGCTCGTCTGAGCGTGCCACACGCATGTTGGTCCTTAGCTTCCCACAAACTGGACTCCAGGGAGAGAGAGAGAGAATCCACGCTATCTATCGCCTGTTCCAGTGGGTGGGCGCAGCGGCCAATTGGGCGTTACGTAATTTAAAGTTAGACAGACTTGCGCTGCATCTACCTCCCGGTCCCCCCTCACTCACATATCTCTGATGACAGGACAGCATCACAATGACCGGAGGTGGCTGGCAAAACTAGACAGCCCGTCTCTGCGCGCCACCCGCACGATCCGGTTCCAGCACTGAATTTACCAGATTTTATTTGATGCAAGCAAGAACTGCATAAAGGAAAGGTGGCGAGCGAACGTTCCTTTCGGTAACTTCTCATCAGGCCAATACAGTTACATAGGACGGGGTACATTGACTGCAAAAAATCGATAAAAGTTAGTTTTTAAATTCCAGGCTGGGCAAGAGCGGAAGGGCGCAGAAAGTTGTATGTGGTTATTCAACCTTTGACCATGGTAAGAGCGGAGCCTGAACGAAGTTCATCGGGCCAATAGGGTCGGTTTTTTGTAACCTGATGACGGCCACTTTTGCTGTTGCTAACAGGCGCTGGCCCAGTAGCTCAAGGGGACCTTATAAATCACGCGAAATGCTTCAGCAGGGCTCACATGATTTCCTGAGCCCACTGCATGCACAAGGATGGCGCTGCCTATTCTCCTAGTTTCACCTTTTGCCAGACATGCGGGAAGGTGCTCTCGTATTCTCTTGGAAAGGCGCCGACTCCTACGACCAATATAACCTGCTCCACAGGGGCAAGTGAATGGGTAGATGCACACTGAGGTGGTCTGAGCCGGCAGCCTATCCTTGCCTTCTCTGCGTAGAATAGGGTTAGTAGAGAATGATATGCGAACCCTTACTGCTGGGAAGGTTCCCGAGACAGCTTGGTCAAGGCGTTTTCTTAGGAGTTCACTCGTAGCGTCTTCTTAGAAAGGGACTTTGAGGAACAAAGCTTTCTTTTCGGCTGTTAGTCTGGTAGGTTTTGTGGGTCGTTCGGCAAGGTTCTTTGCAATTAACCTGTTAGGGTACTCGTTTTCGCGAAGCAAGTCCTGGATTTTTCTAAGTTCCTCCTCAACACTATCTGTTGAACAAATTTTTCTAGTCCTTTGTGCCAAACACCCTACTAGATTTCGTTTTGTTGGAGTGGTACGAAACTAGTGAAGTTCGTGTATCGTTCAGACCAGGTTTTCTTCCGATAGACACCCCTTCGGATGCTACCGAAGGAGTCATTGCGGTCCCGACCTTAGTGCAGATGACCTGGTTACGTTGTCGTTGGAATTCTTCTGGTCCAGTGCTTTTGGCGTGCCGGTTTTTTTGAACAAATTGGGCGAGGACTGCGCGTCAGATCGACCGTGACATACAGTCTCCATCGGGCGCTCGCCACTTCGAACTTCCACGACACCGAGGCTTGTGCAGCGCCCACAACTCGCCTCCATCATTTTCCACTTTTTGTCTAACGCGACAGCACAGCCCTTTCGGGGAGGCGGGGGAAAGTTCCCTCCCCAACCAGTCAGTTTGTCACTCACCCTCGTCCACTCTCTGCATTCCTTGCCCGTGTGCCATTTCGTGGAGGTACCTTACACTTCACAAACTGGACCCTCACTGGATGACAGAGGCATAGCAAGGTTACCATTTCCGCTAATTCCTTTCCCCTCCCTCCCCTCCCCCGATGCCATCGTCAAAAACGGACTGTTTATCCGAGATGAGCGGCATCTGTCCCAAACAAGGCTGATAAACTTATCGGGTGACCTCTCAAAATACTGAATTGCAGATATGTTGAAATCGGAATTTTTTGTCTTTTTGAAAACAGACCGAACACCGGAATCATATCAGGTCTTCTGCAGGTGTAGGCATTAGTCACATTTATGGCTCACCGACACATAAAACCTGTCCATCAAGTAGATGGGAAGCCTGTAACGAAGGCTTTTTATGAATGTGCACCTCATAAATTGAAGAAAATTGCCGTAATAAGTTTCCTCTTTTAAGATGCTTTGCTGGAATCTTTTGCAGATGAGCTGCAATAAAAATTTAAACACCCCATCCATACCTTCACCTCACTGATGATTTTTCTGCCGCAAAAGAAAAAAACCCCACTTTTTTATTGTGGGAGCGTCTTTATTACCACCAATCAATTGTGGGCATCATGATTATAAATGACCATAAAAATGCTAAAATATTTCTCAGGCGGCTAACGCAGTACCCATACTTTACGCATTACCTGAAGATAAACCTCGCAAAAGTCAGCCGGTTAAGGACACGTATGACCAGCTAGTTGGACATATGCTCGCTGTCAACTATGGAATATTTAATAAACGTCTGGAGCAACTGTCAGACTTTAGACTTTATTTCTGTTTGAGGGCGAAAATGTTGCAAGGGATTAAGAGTTATAACTTTTACAGGGGTCTCTCTTCTCAAAGCCACGTGGTCTGCAGTACTTATTGGCCTGATGAAGTTTCTGGGTGTAACTTAAAGTTGATTTCTCCTCAAAACTTGACAGTTTTCTCCATATAAATAGCACTAGAACATTAACTGTCCGAAAAAAGCCTTTGATGTAGAACTTTGCCCACTAAGCAGGAAACACAACTTCTGACATACGCGAGACTGTGCATCTGGATCTTGGTCTTGTTTCGTCATTTTATTCACCCACCGTATGAGCATCGATTTTTTTCACGTGTATGAGACAAGCGAAGGTCATATTCATAAATAGACTGTTACGGTGCTCGGCCAGCCCTTTTCTTCACTTTTATATTTATTTTCTATAAGAAATATAACTACTCATAAATGCAATGTACTGTTTAAGGAGGATTTCGGTCAATATCTCCTGAGTTTCTACCAATTTTATCCATTTTTTGCCAGACTCAGGCTTCATTTAGGGCACTTTGGTCTTTTTTTAACTTCCCTTATTCTTCTGTTAGTCATTCTTAAGTAGCCAGGGAAGTGAATATTTGATTTGCTACAAAGAATTCTCGACTAATTACTTTTCTAGTCTTAGCCAATCTTTATATTGACCGGTTTTCACCCTGCATACCTGTTCACATTGAGGGAATATTCTACAACCATGAACTAGCTAATCTTTTTGTTTCAGCTTCATATCTCTTGCATTCTACCAATAGGTAGGGCGTTATAACGTTTTCGAATGATTGGGGGCTTTTGTTTGCGATTCGGCGCAGCATTTTATTTAGCATTGGTTAAGCACTCGTTAACGGATCACGCGGTAAATGCGCTGCACCACCAGCCGTTATCGGGAACGCGCACTCATAACAAATGCCTACATTGGGGTTTGGTGGCGCGCCCAGGTGCCGGTTCACTCCTCGCCAATTGGGATCGATGTCGTCCCCTATTTGTGTTGTGACAAAATCCTGGTAGTGTCTGTTGTGGACCAGAGGGTGTGAGGGTACGCCTTGCCAACCGCCTGAGGCCTCTCCCGCCTCCGGTCTTTTTGACTCTGTCTTAACATCGGTTCCACGTGGGGAAGGAGAGAGTGCGGTTGATGCTGCGCAAGTCTCCTACCACTATGACCAAACTCACGCGCAGGTCACCGTCTTGGCTCACACTGCTGTGGAGCACACGTAGGGCATCGTTGGCAACGACGGCGGTCCAACTCTTGCTTGGGTAGGAAGCTAGTCATAGTGTGACTAGTCGTGACCGAGTGTTAAGTCGTCAATTCTGCGGTTTAGAAAGACTGTATGCGCCTCCGTGAAGGTAGACGCTGTTCGGCAACGTCTCCTGCTCCATGCGACCCCGTTGCCTGTGCCGACGTATACTTTTTGTTGTCCTTTCAACTTCTCCAATCTCACAGTTGAACATCTAAAGACCGCATTTTTTCTACTTTCGAGTGATGAGCAGCGCCCGAGCTTACTGCACGTTATTCCTTTCCTCTCCCCCTTAGTTGTCCTGAATGGGTGCCTACGATTGGCGGCCAGTGTCCGTGTCTTCCGCGAACCATCATCAACGTCACCGTCGTTGATCTGGATCCAAAAAGTCTCACCAATCTAGCCGAGCGTTCAGAGATGGAGCGCAGCGTCGTGGCTCAGTACTTAATGGCCATGGGCTCGCAAATTACAGAGACCTCCGAACTGTAGACTCTACCTCTCACGCCCCTTTCCACCTCCACACAGCCTTTTGTAGCCCTTCTACCCGAATGCTCCTACACAGCATTACTCCCGGGGCAAGGCGCGCTTCCCGGCTTCGGCTTGTAGGCTCATTTCGTATTAAACGCACAGAAGCATGCATATGCTGCTTGCCTGCGTTACTGGTTCCTGCGCTTCTGAACCCGCGGTATTTCCTGCCTTTCTTGAGAAAAAGTGCCATGTCTCTGCCTAGATCTTTTCTGTGACCTCCTCGACTCTTGTTTACTTGTTCGGCGCTTTCCACGCTTCCGGCCGCATGGTGATTGACTTCTTTCCATGGCCGCCTGTCATTTCGATACGCAGCGCAGTCAATGAGATTGCTTTCTTTTTGTTTAACTCGAAGCTCTATTTTTGTTTTTATTGTTTTTTTCCGAGAGTAGCCCAGACCACCTAGACTTGATTTTGTGACTTCTCTGTTCCTCCCCCTCCCCTCTCCCTCGCTCTCTCCTTTGGTATTTTGAAGGCCTTATGTGCATATCTACAATGCTAGAGACAGAAATCAAAAAATCACTGTAGTTTTCTCGATGGTCTTCAACGTGTCTGTTGCCGTAACCGTGATGGGGTTCCACTCGGAACACAAGTGCCGGTCTTGCAACTGTTTCTCCTATCCATAAGCCATTACAACGGACGTTGGCGACCTATGATATTTCTTCCGTCGCAATCGTTGGTGTCCACATTCACCAAATTGTGATTTGAAAAGTCAAGTTGGCAAACACGCGTTTTCGGTAATTCTTCGTCAGGCCAATACAATTACATGAAGGAATGAAAATGTACAAAATCAACAGTGTTTATAGATGTCTCGAGGGCTATTAAGCCATTAACACTCATCATCCCCACGCCGCCCGCATGACAAGGTCGGCGGGTGTTAGTCCTCATAGCTAGGGCAGGGGGGATAAGAGAGTATTTGAGTGATGTTCTTGGATTGAGTACACGGAGTAGCCACGAATGAATGAAACGTTTCGATGGTGGACGTTTAGGCGTGATGCATGGTGTCCTAGGGGATTTTTATCAACTCCAAACCCCGTGCATATGGTGGAGCGATTTTTGGTGGTATTTTTCGTCGGGTACAGCCTGATCACTGCGCTTTGGGTGTTCTATCTGGCGACCTGGTAGGTGGGATATGTCCAGAAACGGGCCTATGGCAGACGGTTAACCGTGTGCCCTAGCGATCGGGGCTGGTGTGCGTATTCGGATTTCAAAGCCACCGCATGGAACGCCCGCTGCTTACCGCCTCATGGTAGAGCCTTAGGCGCCGCAGCGGTAGGCCGACAGACTCGGTGCCGGGTCGGGTCTTTTGGTGCTAGGTTTGCGTATCTTAGGATGATGGCGTTTATTTGACCGTGGCGACGCTATTGCCCCAGCCATTTGCTCTGAGAATGCGTCGATGATATTGTACTTCAGTAACTTTGTTTTTCTGTTCACTGTAGTGCGTATTAACGCGACTGTCGCATGGAGGGAAAAGTGTACTAGGAAACTGTAATTATAACATCCTAATGGGGTTCGTCTGTATTCGGTGCAATGAACTTCGAATGGAAAATTCTGGACGAGATGATCGATTTCTCACATACATGGACCAGATGAACTCGAGGGGACAGCACACAGTGCTAAAAACTTCAGGATGCTTGTTACACGCCGCTGTAGTGAATCGACTGCCACCACATTCGAGAACACACTACTGGCATTGGGACGAAAGAAAAATGCTAACAGAGATGCAGATTTATCGGTAAAGTTCATGGCACTGCGAACCGCACAAGCCCAGGAAACTGAGCAAACGTTAGTACATTACCTCTCGTCAAAACCACTTACTGTGACCCAAAGAAAAGTTCTACAACGTGGATCTGGTTTTAACACAACTGACGCCGACCCGGTTATCTTCATTGCTTCTTTGGAATAGGTGCGTCGTCAAACCGGCGCCAAAGACGAGGCAAAGGACTTCCTTCGACATCAAGTCTCCTCACTTCTCATGTCGCACCGGAAAACCCACTCCCTGATAAGAGATGAACGAAAGGCCCCAAGGGAGCTGAAAGCGGACACCGAAATAGTTATTCTGCCTGCTGACAAAGGCCGATCAACCGTTATCCTGGACAAGGTAGACTACCGACACAAAGCCCTCATGCTCGTCAACGATCGGGAGTCCTACAAAGTCAGCAACGCCACCAGTCCAAAGTCCCTAGTGGCAAATTTTAACAGAATTCTGGCGCGACTAAAGAAGGATATGGTCATGACAGTTGAAGACTGGTATATGGCAAAGTCTGCAGAAACCGCTATGGCGAGATTCTACGGTCTCCCAAAAGTATACAAGTCAGGTGTTCCCCGCCGTCCAATCGTCTCACCCCGAGGCACACCCGCATAGGGGCTTGCAGGCTGGCTATTTCAGAAGCTAAGATTCCTAACTGCAGGCTCACAAACAACGTTACACTCGACCGAACAATTCCTTGACAAAATAAGTGCCGTCACGATCGAACCAAATGAAAGGATGGTGTCTTTTGACGTCGTCTCACTCTTCACGTCCACATCAGAGGCCCTTGCGGTCGAAACGCTCACTGACCTGCTACGTCTAAATTACGACGGGACGATGGTCATACCACAGTTGAGGGTCTCATAGAACTCAGTGGGCACTGCCTCAAGACATTCTTCACCTTCGAAGGGCTCACATATGAGCAAATCAAGGGCACTCGAATGGGTTCACCAATCTTTGGGCTCATTTCGGAGGCGGTTCTATAAAAACTCGAGAGACGACTATTCAAGGAGTACAAACCCAAGTTTTGGGCAAGCTACGTTGATAAGACCTTTGTAATCATCGACCGGGATAAAATTAACTACTATGCGAACCTACTTAACTCAATCATTACCGATTTACAGTTCACGGTGGAAGAGGAAGTAGGGGACAAACTTCCATTCTTGGATGCTCTTGTCTGCCGCCAACCAAACGGCAAACTAGCGACGACGATCCATAGAAATCCGATGAACACGCTTCAAATGCTCAGCTACAACAGCAATCACCCGCTACAACACAAACGAAGCTGTGTCCGCACGCTATACCGGCGGGTGAAAACTCATCGCAGCACGCCAGCCGCCAAACTGCTCAATGAAGAGCATAGGCAGTCGAACTCGTGGCGGAGCATTCCGTACATTAAAGGGGTCGCCGATACGGTGCCTAGATCACTCGCGCCATTCGGAATAGGTATTGCCCACAGGCTTGACTGAACAATCCGCTGTTCAGTGCTGCGGCCAGAAGATCCGATCCCTAAGCAGGAGATGCCGGATGTTGTCCACCGACTTCATTGCAGCTGTAGAAGGTGCGATTACGTTGGGGAAACGGGCAGACGGCTGAAAACGCGGATGCACGAGCATAAGTTGGCCGTGCGAAGGTTGGATCCAAAGTCAGGGGTGGCAACTTATGCCGCGCAAATAGGACACGTCTTTAACTTTAACGCCGTGGAAATTGTGGGCCGGGACAGTGATCATAGAGCAAGACAAGTGCAAGAAGCCTGCATGTCCACCGACTGCTCTGCCAACCGCCACATCAACTTGCCTCCCCCCTATCTGACTTTAGGAGCCTTCTTAACGGTACAATCGGGACCGTCAGTCATCTCCGCGGCCGACAGAGGCGATTCAGGTCACGGTGGCATGCAGGTTGGATGCAGCCACGCCGGCGGCATTGGCGGGTCACGCATTGAACAAAGTGCGCCGCATAAGGGGAGCTGTGCGCAGGACTTTCCAGTCCCCGAAGTTGCCTAGACGAAACAACTAATCGAAACATCGGACCTCCAATAAACCCAGCCCGGTGAACGCCTCTCCATTCTTTGATAGGCCCTTTGGGAATCGCATTCTCACCACTATTGACACTTTTCCGTGCTCGCCTTCTCTGCCGCGTTTGTATTGGAGACAGGAGTCGAGTGCGCATACGCTTCTCGTGATTTCTAACTACCAGGCCGGGTCATTGCAGTGTCTGAGGCTGAGTACTGTGTTGCAGTGGGATCGGTTCATCGTCCCCGACATGTGTCAGTACTGCTGGCGTCAGTCTTTTCGCTCCGGATGTACGAAGAATCTCGTGCAGCCCGTCGTACGAGGGGGTTGAAGGGACCGACGGAGAGCACCATACCCGACCAACAGAAACTGTAATGAGCTCGGGTTGGGAGGGACGCCGGAGAGTGTGTTGATGCATGTTGTACATGACACTGAATTGATGGGAAGATGTCAGCATTTTTATAGGTGAGTTCCTCAGACACCGTAGGCTGTCAACCCAAATGATAGAGTGGAGGGGCAGCTTCACTCAAGGCAGCTTGTCCGACGATCGGAAGGAATTAAGTTGAGTCACAACTAGAGTATATGCTTTTCGGTGGAGGCGTTTGACGAATCTATTTACTTAGCGTATGGTGACAGTTGGACCATCGGTTTCGATGATGTCCACCGTGTGCCCCACAGTTGCAGCAGCAATGGGAGCAGGGACGATGACTTACGCAGGGGTTTATAGTGCCGGTAGACTTGCGTAGCATCTACCTACACTCTCTCCGCCTCCCTCGCCCGAGCCCGATGTCAAGACAGAGTCAAGAAGACCGGAGACGAGGGAGGCCGCAGGTGGATGGCTCGGAGGGATCCTCACCTTCGCGTTCCACCATACTCCCTGGTCCGCACAACAAGCGTATGGTACAGTAGGTGGGCTCACTCGTGAAATGTCAACCGAAATTCCGAAATGCGTTTCCGTTCCGAAAAGACTAATTAAGTAGGTTTGCAAAACCAATAACCATGCAGCATAATTCTATAATAATTCACTTACCCCAGGACGTCGGCTTTCGAGCAAACTTTCTTTCGGCTGCATCCAAGAACCATACTCCGTAAAAAATGGCTACGTAATTAGCACGCACTTTTCGTCGATTTTCGATGCTCTTTAATATTACATTATATTTCATGGAAAACATGCATAAAAATAAACATTCCTTTGCTCATTCAGTAGAAAATTGCGTTTTCTTTCAATCTTACGCTCGAAGGAAGGGTATAATTCGGTTTTAAAAGATTCTAATTGTGAGATTTTTTAATACCGTGAAATGGCTCTTCATCAAACGCCATGCCTCTGCATTTACCAATGTGGCTTGCAAGGTTAACAATGTGGCTCATATCCACTGCTTAATTTCATAAACCCTATATGGTCCCCATTTACTACCGTAGAGAAATGTATCGTTTTCCGTACGCAGAAATAATACGGCAGGTAGTTTGGGAACCCTGAATGCAACTGTAACGGCAAGTTGGGTTCAATATTATTCGGGAATTGGAAAAGTCTTATAAAACCAAATTATACCCTTCTTTCGAGTTAATCTTTTCGAAAGGAGAACGCATTTCAGAATTTTTGCTGAGAGTTCATGAGTTATCCCACTTTCTGTACACTATAACTCGAATCCTGTTGCTGCGGAGAAGGGAAGTGGGCTGGCGCAACAACGCGGAATGCATTTGGAAGCCGCGGTTGGTTGTGACAGTCGCGGAAACTCTTAAGTTGCACAATGGATACGTCAGAAAAGCTCTAGCCATTGGTTCAGCAGCAATACTCCTGAGGGTTAAGGCAACAGACCACCAAGTCATCAGAAGATCGGTCAGTGCAAGTCATCAAAAGAACACTCATCAAAAGGCGTAGAAGGACCTTCCATACCGAGGCATACGCGTGTGAAACCTGTACCAGACAAGCTGAATTCCACCGTCAGGAAAGCAGCGTGCCTGGTGAGTTTGGACCAGCTGACATAAAATACAAAAACGTGTCCCGTGTTTTTCGGTCAGATGAGTCGGTCAGTTACGCGTTCCACAGTCGCACACAGTTCACATTTCCGCGTGTATCGAATTGCATACAACGAGTGATGTCGCTGACATGGACAGGCAATCCACTGAATTCCAAATGAATCCTTCCTGCTCGAACTCTCCAAATCCGCTGCTAAAGACAGTCATGCCGAAAAAAGTGCGATTCACGTCAACCAGGAACGCGGTCGTACGAAGTGCAAGTAGATTCCTCCCACTCCATAGAAGAGTAGAGTGTATAATACTTCGAGCGTCAAGCACGCCAGCAACCGAACACACCGAACTGCGTTATGGGACGAAATGATAAAGTGACTAATTAAAACCTTTCCGCGTGCCGACATCCTCCTGGTACGAGAGCTCAGAGATCCCTTCGTGTTGTTTAAGCGAGAGACTTAAAGCTCAGAGGACTGTTGGACAAACATGAGTGCAACAATAAATTATCGGTAGACCTGCCTGACTGTGCAACATGCCGACACCCGAGAGGATTTTTCAAAAGAGACGACTGCCTCTGTCGATATGGGTGGGCTGGAAAGACTTCGGGCTGCCAGGTGGATCAGGTTAACATTTTCAGAACTAACTTGCATTGCTTTGTGGCACCGTAATTATATGGTCCGACCAAACTGTTGCACACAAAAGACGGAAATGTGCAGATGGACTGCTGTGGTCTCCACTGTGTCTAGTGGGAGCTGCGTATCGGCTTCGGGTAATATAAGTAACGTCACTCGGCAGGATACATGAAGGGTCTCCGTTGCCCCAAGTCATCGTGGCCGTGTTTGGCGTCCTTGTTAGAGGCTCCTTTGCCTCGAGGCTCATTCACCTCAAAGACCGGTTCCAGACACGTTGACCTACGGCCACGGAGGTGCAGTTGCCCACGCGACACTTGAACTCCCCACCACTCGACAAAACAACACACCAACTGGACACCACTTTAGATTGCCCCGCAGACGTGCAAAAGCAGCTGCAATTACCGCTTCAGGAAGTCTCAGGTATGGATGGACGCAGGCAACACCAGCCCTGGCTTCGCCAGCGGCCAATGCCGCCTGGGACGGCAACTCACGGTGCTGTATACAATAAACCCCACTTCCGGTAACTTCTGCCTTTTTTTACAACTCGAGAGTTGACCTGATGCTTGTAACGTTCTGAGTTCACACCCTCATACCGCTTAAACACTACACTTCCTCTTCGTCTGATTGGGGTCGTATGCGTAATCGGTCGATGTGAAAAGTGCTGTCCAGTTTCGTCTATTCAACTATACAGGGCTAGATCTCAGTTGGCAGCCAGAAATCGGGAAGCGGACGGCGACCCTAACCCTAGCCCTAACCTTAACACAAATTCTATCCTCAAGCTTAAATGTTAACCCCAACGACATCCCTAATCCTAACTCTAACCGAAATCGTAAACGTCATCGTAGCCCTTAGACATAGCCGTAACTGTGAAACCTAACCGTAATTCTGAAACCTATTCGTACGCGCAAACCCTAACGGTAACCCAAAAACCTAAGCCTAAAGGCATAATCCTAGCCGGAAAATCGAAACCATTAACCGGTACCCTAACCCTAACCTCGAACGT